CCAAGGAAATGTTAGCAGCCGGCCTTTTTTCCTTTCTGAAATTTTTTCCGGCCAGTGAACCGCCGTTGATTTTTTTTTTATTTTTTTTTAGAAAAAAATATTTTATTAATATTAATGTCTTGGCTGCTATATTATTGTCTCAGACTGTATTATTGTTTAGGACAGTAATATTATGAATATTATTTTTCCGAACAATAATATTACAAATATTACTGTCCCAAACAGTAATATCATTGCATGAGACAGTAATATTACAGTCGAAGACAACAAAATGGCAGGCCAAGACGATAAAATTAATTAATATAGTAAAATTACTGTCTCGGAGAGTAATATTACTGTCTCATACAATTAAATTACTTAAATTACTGTTACAGTCTTTTAGCAGCCAAGACATTAATATTAGTTAAAATATTTTTTGTAGGGACTATTAGTGAGAATCCCCTCTAGCATTAATTTAACGAGGATAGGTCGAACTCATTTTCCTTTATTAGTGAGAGACTCATCATTTTTTATTCTCAAATTTACCCTTCCTCTATTCACTACATATTATACACTACTTAGATGCAGTTTTTATTTTTTAAATTTAAATTTTAATTTTCGTTTTTTTATTGATTACTTATTTAAAAAAATATCAAAAAAGTATTTTCTTTTTACTTTTTATTATATTTTTTAAAAATAATTTTTTACTATACTTTTTTGTTTTCAGTTAAAACAACTATATTTTAATAAAATAACTATTATTAAAACAACTGTTATTAAAACAATTATGGTTAAAAGTTAAAGCAATTATGTATCTCCAACAACTCTCATTTATCAAAATTAACTATTTGTTAAATCAACTATTTATTACAATCAACTAAAAAGTAATAAAAACAATTATATTGTTGTACGAAAACATCTATATATCTGTAAATAACACCAACACAATTTCAATAAAAACAAACATCCATTATACTATTGCTGAATACAAAATTAGCCTTCAATATAAGAATTCAACCAAAAACTCCAATTAAGAAAATTGAATTCGAGAATTGGGTTCCAAAAAGAAATCAGAAAAGAAGAACAACAACAATAATGAAACAATGTTGGCGGTGGTCTCTATTGAAATCTCAGACGCAATATCAACCTTTGCGCCGCTGCATAGTCTCGTCATTCTCCCTAACGAAAACCCTAACCGCCGTCCTTGACGAGAGAATTCTAGGGGTGAAGACCGCCTTCTTTTCGTGGCGGTGGAGGGAGAACGCCGTTGGGAGAAGAGAGTAACGACGGCGGCGCAGGGATGGAAGAGGGTTGGAGGCGGCGGTATGTAGAGAGAAAAGAGAGAGGAGAATAAAAGAAATAGGTTTGGTTATTTTAGATATAACATAGAAGGGCAAATTAGGTATATTAGTCATGGCAAAAACAATATTAATTAAAAAAAATATTTAATATAAGGTGGGGGTTCTCACTAATAATGAAAAGGAGGTTATATTCACCTTAGTATAAGTAAATGAGTTGGGGGTTTTCACTAATTATCCATTTTTTAAGAAAAAACAAAATAAAAAAAAAAAGTCAATTAATAATTAAATTACTGTGAAATACAGTGATTTAGCAACCAAGACAGTAATATTAATTAAAATAATTTTCTTTTTAAGAAAAAAAATAAAGCTCAATTAACAGTTAAATAACTGTCTCCGGTGGTGGCGGGTCAAAATCGGGGTTAAAATTGGTTAATTAGTGAAATTGGAGTAAAAAAATGGATAAAACTCTCTCAAAAATAAGGGTGTAAATCATGAAATTGGAGTTGAGTTGAGTTTCAAAGAATTGAGGGTAATTTTGATATATATAAAAGGGTTTTCCTTATTTACAAATAATTTTGAATGGACTGGAAAATATCTGGAACACAAAAAAGTTGAATATATTTTTTTTTTTAATTAAGTGCTCTTGTCATGAATTTTTTTACCATTAACCATTATGAATAAGTATCATATGATGGGCTTATTTGTAATTTGCCAATAACTAAACGACTTATCAAAGTAAGAATTAAGATTTGAAATATATTGTAGAATTTGATAATATGAATTCCAAATCTTTAACTCCAAACTCTCCCTACAAACACAAGTATAAAATCCAAGATATGCGATTATTACAATCATTACTATTTCAGCCCCAATATTACCTTAAATATCCGACTAAGAAACAGCAATTGGACTCCTAACCGAATTCTTAGCCGATTTCCATAAAACATATCTATGAGAAACAGAGGTGTTGCCATTATTTGCTGATCTTCTAAACGTAATTTTGTACGTCAATTTCTGGTTCAATTTAGAGAAATGAAGTGTCCGGGGCTCGACAATCACGTCGATGCCTTGCGGTGCGACAACCTCAACAATGTAACTCGAATTAGCCTCCCCAACATTAGTCACCGTCCTCGTGTACGTCTGATCAGCTGATTCATTAGACCTAACCGAAAAGGAGGGGTAGTTAAGTTGCCCCTCCGAGATTCTCGATTCGGTCGAGCAATTCACCTTACGCTGTAGAATGATGAAAATTTCTCGATGCGTGTAATTTAAACCGCACAGGTAATGCACGTAATCTTGAGGTTCGATATCGTACACGAGCCCTGGATCGTTCGCTCTGGCAGGATTCACATGTCCCGCACCGGTCGAGTATACATCGGCCGCGAGAAGACTCTGATCGAGAATCGGTTGGTTTCCGAGATTCGTCTGGTCGGCTGTGGTCATGATTGCAGACTTTATTGCTGCTGGCGACCAATCAGGATGCGCGCTTTTGAGCAGTGCTGCAACCCCACTGAGATGCGGGCACGACATTGACGTACCCGAAAT